TCTTCCTGGATGGGGACTGCGAGACGGGCCACATCAATGGCTAGAGACATTATCAGACATGGCCCAGTCGCGTCCCTAATGGCGCACATGCATCCAAGCTATTGCCTTCAATGCATAGCTCCCTTCCCGATTCCCCCACCTGACAGTCCACCTACAGTGTATATTTACGCACCAGTTTATCAGCTCCCGCCTCTAATGCGCAGCTACCCACACCTCCCCCCCAATCATCGGTGAACGAAATTGCGGCAGCTACGACCACTGTACGACGAGTACGCGGTTATTACATCTGACAACGGTGATGATGATCTCGTTGAACCAGCGAAATATAAAATACCATCTATGCATCATTTGTACTGGATACGGTTAGCAATATCATCATCTTGTTCCTCCATCATCCAGAAGAACCGTGTTTGTCGCCCTAAGTGTGATACTACGGGATAACTAATCTACCAGTCGTGTTTCACGAAGCTTCATTGAGAGAGATTTCCAAACCAGAAGTACTCCTGGTGTAAAATGTGGGTTTTCCAAATTCAATGATTTGAAAAAACGCGTTTTTTCGGTGAAAATGCAATCGTCAACTGTTCGTTTTTGATCCACGGTACTCAGTCTACGATGAACCCTTGAGATTATGGTTGAAATGCAGTCTTGTCTATTAATGTTCAAGCATGCGTCCTACGAGCAGGTATGCACTATCCCAAAAAACTTCAGTCTCCTACTGACTGACTTACCCGAACATCGATCAATGTGTGAAATCGTGTTCCGACCACAAAGGTGTACGCTGAAGACTCGTTTAGTTCGCCGAAATAGGAGATCACAGCCATTCGAAATCCGATTAATCCATTGTTCGGAATTAGATAGTCGTGAACTTCCGGATCGAGGACCAGTTGGATTTGTTCGTCTGCCAAAAAGGGCAATGGGGTGTGATGGGAAGGGTTACCGACAAAGGTCAACGTGTAGCTCGGCTTCTACGTGTGCCTCGACATGGTGGAAGTTCTAGATTATGGGAAAAGAACATGAAAATAAATAAGCCTTACCCCAGTGCTCCGATTCACAATCGGACATCCGTTTCCCCCTCATTTCACTGACATATGCAGGTAGGCATATCACGGAAGTCTGATTTTATGTTGTAAATTAGAAGTACTAGTAGTGGCCGGGACGAGGAAAGCTCCACCACGCAACCGGGGATACCTGCTACCGTCCTCAAAGCACCTAGTTGGTATTCGACAACTCAAAACCCCTTGAAGTGAACCGATCTTCGGTGCTTCGATCTTCTGCCGGGGCTGACCCAATCTACCTTATCTACGCATACAATGGCAATAGCATTACTCATGTCGAGGCATCATGATTGTGTCTTTAGAACGTCCAGATCTTCACGTAGGAGAACCAGTAATATCTTCACGTGGATGTTCTTTTACACCAATTATCCTGCCGTAGTCTTAGTTTCTTGACGGATCTCGTTGAAACCGCGTTCCTCGAGAGCAACATTCTTAATCTTGCTAACCGAGTAAATAATCCTTCACCCAGGTTCCAAACATGTTTGGGAACCGCATCGTTTTTTCAGAAAAAACAACTTTTAGAGAAGTAATCTTCAGTGTTTTCATGGATTTACTGTTTAGAGAACTGGAATTTTGCATATAAAATTTTTCAGACTGTTTGTTTTTCCTAAGGGTTCACTGTACCACTTTATGGTTACCATCTGTTCAAGGGTACTTGGAAAGTGAAGAGTTCGAACCTGCCGACCACGCTAGATTTGTGCACAGTCACAGCCCAAACTGAAAACCGAAATTGCAGTGCACAAAAACAACGTATTTTATGGGAGGTTAGCTTAGTGTCCAAAGTGCAAACTTACTTACCAAGTAATTCGTGGTTCGAATCTGACCTCTGCATCTCGATTGATCCCATCAACCTGAACAGCCTGACAGTAGGTCAGTACTCGCGCTTCCATCGGTATAGTATGACAACCAAAAAGGTATTGCAGCTGAACATGTATCATTATTTGATTAGTAGTGATAGCCTTCGGTATGTGATAACAGGATTACGTAAGGATACCCTCTAAAGCAATTCCTAATTTGTGTTTCATAAATGATGAGCACAGTGTTTCTAGGATCAACTTAACACATAAGTTTGATGAAAGCTATTCAAGAACCCACTGCTGTAGTGACCTTTCTGGGACCAACCTTATGAAACCAAGTTCCAGAGTTTCTATCAACCTTTGTCCCACCTGGATGCCAGACTTTGCGTAAGCTGAGTTGTACGCCACTTTTGCTAGTTAACTTGGTGGAAATGGGGAACATCTGACTCTCTCCCCTATGATCTCTTTCTCTGTGTAGGCCTTTTGCATATATGAGGCGTCAATTATCCAGCTTTACCGTCAACCTTGTCAAGTACCCGACTATACGTAACTGTTCGGGTTGTAGAGTTTCTGACGGTCAGATTCCTAACAAGCTGAACGTACAGGTTGACCAGAGCAAACCAAGTCAGCTAATAAGAACATCATAATCTGGTTCCAGGTGAGTCTCCATCAAAAAATCGAATCTACATACAGATGCGTCTACAAATTGAATTTGTGCAATTTGCGTTCAAGTTTAACATAAGGTTGACGGAAACTCAGGGGCCATGCCTACCTGATGAGGTCGAAGTTGAAGGGCGAAACCGGTCGCGGGCTGTCAAAGAGTTTTGAGCAACCTTATGAGTAGTGTACTACGTCTATACAGTACTACACACCTTGCGCGCAAATGTTTTCGACGGTATTTTGGTGTTGGTGCTGTGAATGCGCCAAGTGATTGACTTTGCTGTTAGGTCATAATCTGGTTAAGAATTTTTCTAATATAACAGGCAATTCAGCAAAAAGGCTTGCTTGATGAGGTCTAGTCATCAACATCATCATCATCATCATCGTCATCGTCATCGACAGTATGACATCAGTGTTCAACACCGATGCTTCGCTGCCGTACATCTAGACGTCTAGACGTCAGCAAAAACAGTGAACTTTTTTAGATAGATGCAAATTTGTCTTATAAATATCCTGACTGGATTGAAATGCCTATGGACGCTTGTCAGGGCATACTAAACTGTCTCAGTACACTCTTGGATGAATTTTTCGTTTACGGTACCCCCCGGTTGATTGCTTTGCTGATGGATGTTTTGCCAGCTGTGTACAATTCAGCGTCCAGTTCGAGCACAGCGCCTAGCTGATGGCCCTCAGGTACGGCAAAACTTGTAGTTGGCTGTCCAGGAGTTTCCCTTGCGTTCCGTCTTGAATGTAGCGCCAACCGGAACGCGAAGCGATCTCAGGATAACCTACTCAGTTAAGGAATATCATGAACAAAAGACTTACTCGAGTTAACACCCAAGCAATTTGAAAATCAGTGTGGTTCATCATCTGTTTTGTCGTTCATTTAGAAAACAAGTTTGAAGGGGGTGCACTTGCCCGATGAGTCCCAAGATGATGAATTACTGAAGGTCATTCACCACTTTGTTATATCAAGAAAACACAATAAATGCCCCTCTCGCTGTAAGTGATCCCATTTTGTTCAAAATACAAGCAGGAGATATCCTTGGACCACAGTGTAACAACAAGCCAACGTCTTCGATCCAACATGAATTTATTCTCTGCCAACAGCCCCCCTCGCTACAACCGGCGCCTATATCATGTCCCCTGAGTAGCTGACCTGAACTGGACTGATACATCTGTTTGTTCCCCATCAGGACTCATCACACTTTACCCTAGGGTTCATCAACTCAGAGCTCAGCTTCAAGTCGTGAAATCAAGAGGTTTGAACCGGTTGAAAGGAAATTCCTTAACCAAACAATTTCAACTAATGACAAGTTTCATGCTGATTCACTTTAGGACATGCGCAGGATTGCTTGTCCATGATCCAAGTGAACACTCGGCTTCAAGACTGAGTTGAACATTGCTTGTAGACAATCATACAATGAATAAAGTTTGTATGTTTGTTGGAAATTCCAACAACTGATCTCACCTACCGTGACTGCTGTTCAGGCTTCGGGCGAAGCAAGGACCCTGAATTGTTCTGACGAATCGAAACTGCTCGCTGGTGCATGGTGTACCCCCGACCATACAGCTGAAAAGAGTCAAGCGAATAACCTTTCAGTGATAATATGCTCCTGGACGCGTAACAAAGCAACTAAAAAATGGTGAAATGAAAGAGGTCAAATCAGAGTTGAAACAGGGGCCAACGGATTTCATACGTATGGAGACTTCCGACATCGAATTGGAGCGAGCAAAACTCAGGTTGAAGTAGAACATTTAGTTGACGGAACCTGGAGACCTGATGAGCCCCAAGAAGGACGAAACCAGTCGTGAGCTGTCAAAGAGTTATCAGCAATCTTACGAGAAGTGTATTAATTCTATGCGGAATTCTCCGTGGAGGGTCAGCAGGACAATATAGGAGAGGTGATCAGCCTGATAAAATAGTGAGCAAGGATGAGGGCTGAACATTATTGCCATTGCTACTGAACACTGCTCATACCGAGGTCAGAGGTGTAGACGGTCATACAGCAATTGATTTTTGTTGAGACCATGCCCGATCGGAGTATTTCACAATCCTGATGGATGAGGAAATTCGCCGTGTTACTCGGTAATCTAGGTTCCGACGTACAATTTCGTGTGTGGTCTCAGTCGAAGAAGAGATTACAGTAGCCCACACCTGTATGAACGGGTTCCGTCCCTTAGAAGCACTGAACCAAATCGAATTCCGACTGAGAATCAGTGAGGTCAACACGCCGATGGCACAAAAATCTAGGAATTCTATGAATTTGGAACCGGACAGACTTGGAAAATGATCCATCAGAATGTCACATTGGCTCTCAAACGGTTAAATGGTCGGGTCAGAAGATCAGAAGAGATGCCGCATGCTTTGACCACGCCTATTCTCCTCTACCATCGACAGAGGTCAGTCTCCTTAAGGCGAATTTGTGTAACCCATGGGCTTGGTTTTTGATGTTGGGCCGTACCTGCTGGCCTAAAATGTTTCTTCTGAAACATTGTTATTGGATTTACCAGGAAATCTATAGACAGTCTCCTGATTAGGTGTTGAGGTGTATAATGATTAATTAATTAGTGATTGAGTGTCGACAAATACTGTCGGTTTTGACAGGAGACCCAGCTGAAAGTGTCGCATTGAATGTTTTATGTTTCAATTGGTAGGGACCATCTGAGTCTCCTCTCAATACAAATTTGTGTGAAAACGAGACGGCATTTGTCAAGGTCCATCCAATTGGGGTACAAGCAGAGCTTAACGGCGATAGAAACTCGGGGACTGTGCCTACCTGTTGAGCTCCAAGAATGCCGTGGGTTGTTAAAGAGTTTTCAGCAGCCTCATAAGTAGTGTGTTGGGTTTAGCCAGTGAGTGAGTCATTTCCACTATCCTACCACGGTTCCGTGTGATTTTGAAATCAAATTACGTGACTTTGACTGCGTAGCTAGACGATTAGTGGTCTTATGTTGTTATTTCTATATCTAGACAGTGTACAAATCTTGCTGCATTTTATGATCATGCGTGTTCAGCCCGATGTGAATCATTCCTCTGTTCTCACAACGTTCCACCGAAACGCGTGTTTGTTTACCCTCCCGTCAGGAAAATATGCTACGATAGCTTGGATACCGCACAAATTTAAAAGAAAAAGGCAGATTTATCGCAACACATTCCAAAGATACCACAAGTGAGACATTCAGCTGAGTCGGAGTTGAGTCTCTGTTTGACATCAGCTCACTTTGCAAACGAGTGTATTTTCCGATTGCGTACAGCTTGATGTTCAAGTGGAATATCAGACTGACAGACCTTCAGGGACTGCGCCCACCTAATGAGCCTCAAGAAAGGCGAAAGCAGTCGACGGTTTCCAGTAAACTAATAAGTAGTATTGTATCATGCATGTCAGTTTAGTTGATCCGCAGTCCAGTTCAGCCTTTCTAAAGTGCCCTATCTTTTCGCAGACATGC